TTCCCCCCCCCCCCCAACCAGGTGCTCAATTGAATATGTAAGATAAAGATTTTCTAATCCTTGTTACAATATTAGTAAAGTGATATGAGTGCTTTTAAACTAAAAATACAACAACATTAGCTACACAAGACTTGTGAATAATAAATACTCTTAATTGTAGGAAGAATAACGAACAACCATCAGAAAAGGCTCTCAACAGACAGTAAATAACCAAACTTTGCATACACACCTTGACCCACAATGCCACAGGCGCATCCCCCTTCAGCCAAGTGGGTTCAGAAAATAACAACTCTACTTCACTAATATCATTTGGTAATTCACTTTCAATTGTATCAACAATAGAGACAGAGTTTTCAAAGGCTAAGCAGGGTTCATTTATTTCATCATCTTCAACATCATGAAAACTATAGAATTCCTTCTGGCCCTCCACTTGACAGTCACAACATGAAGCTCCACCACATTGACAATCTATATTAGTCAAGAGTTCACAAACTGTCTGTTGCATTTGATCTTGTCCTTCTATCTGAGCCCCTTCCAATTTTAATGAATCATTCAATCGATCATCCTCCAATTTAGCCTGATCAGTACTTTCAGGGAAATTAGGTTCACCCTGGTTTACAAAAGTTGTTCCTGAACATGGCTGTGAGCAATCAGATCCCCCAGCATACTGAACACCAGAACAAGGAAGTACTTCCATGATACTATTTTAAAATTGGCAATACCATACAATATGCTTCCTATGATTGTTGACTCCCATCTAACCACTGTTTTGTCAAAGGTCATTCCAAAAAGAATAATAATGTAGTGTTAGACATAGTAATTGATAAAAAGAGGCTGAAAATCAAACAGAAATAAAATATATAGAAACTAAATGGCATGAGTATATCATATTCAAATTAAAAGAAAAAGGGAGCAAAATATTTAATATTCAGAGGCGATATATAGTAGAACTAGGAAAAACACCATATATGTTCCCTGACTAGGAGCAAACTCCGCTATGAACTTGTGAAAATCTATTTAGGATTTCAACGATTTCCCAAAAAATATGGCAGAACATGAACTTGATTACACCAGAAATATAAATTACCATATTCAAGTTCCCTTCTTAAATTACTGGCTTTATGACTTGGCAATATTCAAGGAACCCATTTCATTAAAAGGTTCGACAGCTTCAAAGAATTAAAGTACAAATATTAAATGAAAATTAAACTGAATATTCAGTTCTCTAATTCTGTATTAATAGTATCACCCTCAAAACTAAGTAGTTTTATCAAGGTCATTCAGGTACCAGATCCTAAAATGAAGTGGCAAGGTTATTTGAATTTAGATAGAAACATAAGACCCTTAGATTTATGTATTCCTGATTAACCATCAAAAACAGAAAATAACCTCTAGAAATGTATATCACAAGGTAATAATTCTGAATTCTAATATAATTTTTAACTATTCTCAGTTACAGGATTAAAGCAAAATGATGTATGGTGAACCATGACAGGGTATATACTCTCAGAATTACTCTGCCATGCATACGAATTTTAATGGCAATAGTCAAACCCAAAAAAGAAACATATCAAACTCATAAGATTTTGTAATTATTAAAATAAATCTTTTCAAAACAAATTGATTTTAATCTATAAAGCAATCACTTTTTGGAGGGTTCTGTAAGGAACCAAGAATTGTAAAGAGAAAGAAAGGAAAGATTTTATTGAATAGCATGGAATGAACACAAAATAGGAGAGATAACTCTCCTACAAGAGTTTTACCTACACAAAGGATTTCTCCTTTTACAAAGAGTCAAAGCTTAATTTACAAATGAAAAGATTTGAATGCCTTCTCTCCCCTTCAGTCCTCCTATTTACCTTCAGTCCTCCTATTTATTTATGTCACTTACTCACTAACAAAATAATATTCTAACTAACTCCCCTCCACTATAGTCCTAACAAGTTCAATAAGAATCTATTTGGAAAAATAAATGAGTTTTGGGTGTTGTTAAATAGCCGCTATAGTGGTAATATAACACTGCTGCACTTAAGAATTTTCCATGAATTCACGATCATGACTGCATCTGGCCATAGTAGCCGTTATGGTGTCATATTTGCAGAGCATGTATCCTACATCCTCTAGTCATCTCTGCCCGAGTCTCCAACTATTTGAATTTTTTAGTTAATATTATGTCAAATTTTATGCATTTTGTTTTCTTTGGCATACAACTTGCACTGCTCCTTTGCAAATAGGAGACATGATGGAAGGCTGTGATCCCAATTGATAAGAATCTTGGGAGAACCACACTACAAAAGTTAGTTATTATAGTTAGAGAACCCATGGTCTTATAAACCTCACACTAGAATCCCATACTTCCAATATGGGACTCAAGTCCCAATGTTCCATACCTTAAAATGGTTTCCTAACACTATGTAACTTCCGCTATTTGCCCAATACGCTACCTACTATATGATATAGCATATAATTGGCTTTCCACCATTTTTTGCAATCTGCAATTGATAACATATTAGAAATGATTTGGGCTTAACTCAAACCCCCAAAGCAAGCTCAAGGGAGGAGGATTATTCAAATCTTACACGGAGTATTTTGGCCAGATTCCTAGCCAATATGAGATTTTGATGCATTCCCTATATTCCAAAACTCAGCTCTAGAGCATAATGTTTTGCAGAACACGGCATCTGCAGATAGCTCATTATAAGAATAGACTCTAATATCATATTAAAAACAGATCAATCCTAACTTAACCTCAAATGTGGGTTCAATGTGAGAGGATTAACAAAGTTGTATAAGGATTAGTTTGACCATATGCCCAGCCCCATATGAAATCTTAACAGTGTCCATGTCAAAATACCTCAAATTTTAATGCGACACTATAAACTTTGGTGCATTTCTTGCTTTTTAGATGTTAATAATTACATCATTTTATATCAAACATTTAATTCTATCCCATGACATGTCAGATCATTTCAAATTTGTGTTTGAGCTTCATAACTAGTAAGTACAATGAATTAAGAATTATTTCTTCATATATCAAAATAATTGTTTATAGACTGCATACAATAAAACAGTAGAATCGATTAGTTCATAAAACGAGAATGAATAAGTTCAAAACAGTTATGAAAAATAAATACATAAGAGAAAAATAAGCAAAATAATACATAATATCTGTTATACCATTGTATAAAATTTAATAAAAAAATAATAATAAAAAAAAAAGGTGAAATTATTTGACAGCGTATAAATTAAGTAATCTGTCTATAAAGAATTCCCCCTTCCCATCAGTTTATGGTCTCAGACTCTCTATTAAGTGGGGACTTGCACATGCAGAGAGCAGCAGATAGGACAATCCATTCACTTCAGATTGCATTACCTAACCACGAATTCAGTGTAATCTAGCAGAACAATACATATTTTCTTACTGCCCCGACGAGAGTAAACCATTTAGTGATGAAGGGCAATAATAATTGGGGCATCATTGATTTTTATAATTTTTTTAGTTTCTGAAACGATAATAATTCACACATAACTTCATGATGGAATGTTATTACCATGCAATGTTGAATCAATAGATGCATTCCCAAAATATACAGCACCATTGTAGAGTTTTTTTTTTTTTCATAATTACACATTTACAATCGAGGTCTAATACCTGGTTTATGGAGAAGAAGATAGGGTACAATTCATTGAATTCATGCAAAACCACCTGGGTGAGATTCTCTGAGTATGAAATAGTTCCCAAAATAGACTTAGAAGCACTTGAACTGTGACTCTTGGATATGTACTAAAAAAAAAATATATGACTCTTGGGTAAGGCTTAAGAAAATTTTAACAAATGGAAATCACTTATCTTCATGCTAGTCCCTCTAGTTGAAAAATGACGTCTCATTAAAAATATATTTCTTTTAAATACAAGAATTGTCTCTTCAGGTTATTATTATTATTTTTTATTTTTTATTGTAGAGATGTTTATTTTTAATTGTTGGAGAAGAAAGTTTACAGCCAAAGGGGACAAATGATTTGATTCTAATTTTAAACATTGAAGTCTAAAATGAAACATCGTTTTGCTAGAGTAAATTTTTTTGGTCAAATAAATTCAACCAGTGATAAACATTAAAATAGGTGAATTTCTGTTAATTAAAAATGGACAACTGCATTAAAATCAAATCTGACAATTGTCACGCAGTGTGTAAATTCATCCCCCCCAACCCCAAAACCACACTTTCTTTAGGAATCAAATGATCTAAGTTCCCACGAGAGTACGAGACGTAAAATCCGGAACAGCAATAATTTCGTCAAAAGCAACACGAAAAAGCTTCAACCTTAAAGCTTATACAAAACAACACAGACCCATCAAGGTTTTCGAAACCTAGACCTTAACATCTACTTACTGTGACCCAGAAACCCTCAATGACAAAGACCCAATTAAAAATAGAATTAATTCCCCGCATTATTGTGCTCAACCTGTAATACGAAGATAAACCCTAATCAAATTTTGATTATGTAAGGTTGATTAAGGATCAGAATTCAGGACCATGTTCTGCATATCTGAAAATTTATTAATGAAAAAATAAATAAATAAAGTTGCAGAATCATACAAGTATAAAATTGGGCATCAATTATATCTTGGACACTTACAAAATTCCTAATAAAAGGCAAGTTCTCCCCGCTGCCATTATTAGCACATCTTTATTTTGGGTATGAAAATAAAATTATAATATGCATAAAGTACACAACATATCTTGGGGTGAGATAGGTCAGACACCATAGAAATTGAAGCGATATTGACAGGAAATAAATGTGACATGTAATGGAATGGACATTGGCTAAGGCAAATTTGAAAGAATATACGAAACTAGAAAAAGGGGGCAGTGGTAAATAAAGTACCTTAAAAAAATATGGGAAGTTTATGCAGAGCGAGATCAATCAGAGACTATAGGTTAGTGATAGTGGGTGGAATTGGTTTTCTTTTTTATTTTATGTGAAAAAAGTGCGTTCTGTGTTTTGAGCATATATCAGAGAAAAAGAAAGCCAGAAGAGGGTCAAGTCCCGTGCCCAAATTCAAGCACCAAAAACTCTTTATATTATTTTTTTTTTCTTTTACTAGGGGCCTTTGCTTTTCAGTGACTTGATCGAAAATTTTGTTCTTTATTTTCTTAAATTTATAAATTTAACCTTTTTTATTTTTAAATTTGATAATGTTACTTTAATTATGTGGTTTTCATCGATCTGTTAATTTAATAGTTAGTATTTTACAAAATTATTTATGTGACACTCTAATTTATTGTTGCGTTTATTTATGTTCATATGATATTTTATTGCGGTGTCAGATTAATATCTTTATTAAATATTAATAGTGAATAAGTAGATTAAAATTACATAATTAATATAGTGAGTAAGTCAAATTCAGAAAAATTAAATAAATAAAATAAAAGTAAAAAGGCCAAAATATAATTAGGTTGTATTTTTTAAGGGAAATGAGAGTTTTTTTAGTATTGACCACATACACAACGTTATACTTACATGGAAAACTTTTAACACGGATGTCAAATAGTTTTTCCTTTTGTAATATGTTGAGAAAATATTCTTATATGTAAAATAAAAAAATAAAAAAAATAAAAAATAAAAAAGTTGTGTTGTGATAGACAAAAATTGATATATAATTTTTATTTTTTTGAATGGTGGAAATTTTAAGTGGTTTGGGGCAGGGAATTTGAGGAGCGAAAATCGGGGGAGATGTATCCGGTCAATTCAACGGTCAAACATAAAAATATGTTTTATAGCCTTACTATTCGGTAACGTCATCCTAAAACAAATTCCCATTATTTTTTTATTTAAATACGTTTTTAATCTAACAAATTTTGAGTAAATTTATTTTCTCTTTCAAATTTAAAATTATCTTTTTATTTTATAATTTTATAATTTTTAAAATTTATTTTAATCTTTCTAATCACTAATAATACATCTGAAAATAAGAAATTGAGATAATTATACAATACTAATTAAATTTAATATTATATTTTTATTTATAAAGACATATTTTGTATGCAGCCGCGTTAAATCTTGGGACTAGCTATCCCACCTTTGAGGTGCCTCCAACGTAGCAAGGAGATTAGTCACTGCTGTCGGCGGTAGATACTCCAGGAACGAACCTAAAAAAAAAATAAAGACATATTTTGTATCATCATACTTAATAGATTTTTAAAAATTTGAATATAAAGATTAAAATAAATTTGTTTGAAATTACATAACTAAAAATTTAATTTTAAATTTGAGAGATTAGAAATAAATTTATTTTAAATTTAAGAGTGTAAAAATATAATTTTTTTTTCTAATACTATAAATACAACTATAAATTTATTTATTTATTGCAAGTTCTAAGATTTTATTTTTTATTTTTTATTTTTTATTTTTTGGGATGATAACAGACTCACTCCAGCCCGAAAAACGACAATTAATAAAGTTAACTGCTTTGGAGGTGTACGTAACCGAAACCATGAAATAAGAATAGTGTGTTTTATACGGAATCAGAGATTATTGATATTTCAATTATTATTTTTCACTTTTTTTATTTTAAGATCTATCTTTATTTTAAGTTTTTTTAAAATAAAAGTTAGAATTATTTAATTTAACTTTCTCTATATCACATATATAAACTAAAAAATATCAAACAAAAAAAAAATAAGTTAAATTAACACAACTATATTTATACTACTTATATGAAGAAAAAAATATTATGATTGTGATTTAAACTGTAATTAAGGTTATTTTTAATTATTGACCATTTAAATAAAATTATAAAGCAATTGAAATTTGTTTTATATATTGAGATTAAAAAAAAGTGATTTAAAATAATTGAGGGAAAAATATTTTTCTGACTTGCAACGTAGTATCTAAATACACAGTTAGAAAATTGAACATTTAAGAAATTTAGGAGAGTGAGAACATCACGTTCTAATTTGTAAATTCTTATGTATATAATAAAATTAAATTAAATTATAGTTTTGATTCATTTTTTCGCCTAAACTTGAGGCACTTTAGACATTTCCATTTTAGATATTTTATTGTTTATTTATTTAATAGATAGTATTAATCGATGAGACGTTTGTTACAATTAGAGAATGTAATTTTAATGTGTACTTTATAAAAGAATTTTATTATTATTTATTATTATTATTATTATTATTATTATTATATTTTTAGTAGAAGAATAATAAAGTTTATTGATGTCATTATCGAACATTTCTATGCATACATTATTTATTGATTAAAATACGTATATTTATATATGAATTATTAACGTCGGTCTATCGGTAGGACTAAGATCATGTAGATGCATAAAACTTAGTTTTACCTTTTTTTTATTGTAATATTTCTTATTTATATATAAAAAAAATTACGAATTTGTTTATATATTTATAAATTTTAGACATAAATAGTTAAATATGTTTTAATTTCATGTAAATATGGTTTCTTATTTAAGCCTCTTGCAAAAAAATTGCTATTTTTAGATCTTAGTTAGTTTAGTGATAGCCTGGCAAATAAAATAAATAGTATTAATTAAAGTAATAAATAATATTTTGAATTATAATTATTAAGTGAGAAATAAACGGGAGTGAGAAAATTTCTTACTCTAGCTCATGGCATGGAATAAGAAATAGATAAGTAAACACACTCCATACATGACTTATACAATAACATGATAATAACAGGTAACTATCACAGTCATTCAATTATTACTATTAACACAATCACTTGTTAATAACATATCAATCATAAGTAATTTAGTCACATGTGAATATGAGATGCAATAGCTACAAACTCTCGATTTACAGCATGTGGTACCAATATCAAGATATATGTAGGGCATATTAAACGATTTGTCGATTTATATGCATATGATGCATGTCACATAGACTCTTTCATATCATGAAATCACTATATATACACATATTCAATGATTTGCCACTCAAATGATTTGTCACACATGCGATTTGTCATGCTTTCAATTGTTATTTACCAAACATACACTTACCATATACATAATTTGTCATAAGAGTCAAGTATCTTATTCAACTAGTTTATCAACATATATGATTAATTCAAACTCATCAACATTAATTTTACTCAATCAAACCTCTCCATCTCAAGTAAAGGAACATTCTTCATACACGAATTCTACCTAGTGGAAGTCCATCCACACCCAACACATCTCATCTAGAGGGCACTCATAGCTCTTGGGATGACTTACATCCGACGTGTCACGCCTAGCGAGATAATAATAGGGAGCTTTTTAGAACCTCCATGCTCAACGAGCTCAACCCACACTCGGCATGAGTGTCATAAAGACTCGCAGCCTCATTAGCACCTAATGAGGCATATCCCACGCCCAACACAAAAGAACAGGGAGCGAGCCTTACTCTCGGACACCTTAGCGCCCGACAAGACGCAAGTGGTGCCCGACCTTATATTAGAAACTAGAAACATGTAGAATCGTGATTTGCAAATATCAAACTCAACGCATACATTTATAATTTCGATTGGTAAAACACTTTATTTTACTCATACAATAATACATCATAAGATACGAATTTCAAGCAATTACAACTTCCATCAACTATTCACGCAATGACTATTCACTCGCATATTCTTAGGATTCCCACAAGAACCCTCAAGCAACTCAATTCATATCAAAAAGGGCCCAATGCACAAAATTAATCATATATGATCACAATTCATATCAATCTAAGAGCAATAATATCACATGGGAAAACAACAATGAGAACAGAAACAATTGGGATTTCCCCTTCATGCAATGCATACAACATACAGTGGTTGTAGGTCAACCTTACTACCCATCAGTTACCCCACGTCCTAAAGTGAGAATTCTCACTCCCCCTTTACTTTTATTGGCAAACAAGGAAGAACGTGGATTTATGAGATGATATCTTTTTTGTCTCTTCTCCTCCTGGTTCTTCGGAGTGTAAACAAAAAGTGAAAGCCTGAGTAGAAAAATGACATATCTTCCTTTTTAATATTAAACCTAACTTAACCTTCATCTAACCCATCCATGGTTACTCAACCTTAATTATGATCACAAATCTCGTTTCCTCACTTAATAATAATAATAATAATAATAATAATAATAATAATAATAAAACAATAATGTTGCAACACGAATCGCAACAGGACAACAAAAATAAATTTAAAACATGAAGTAACCACCAATTTTTATTTAGAAAAACCTCAGGAAAAACCTTTAGAAGTAAATGATCTTTAAAACCAAATTTTTGAATTTGAGAGTCAATTACGTGTAAGGAAAATATTAGCATCTTACAACATTCATCTTATAATTTTTTAAAAAATATCTATCTCACCCAAAAAATTAAAGAAAATAATTATGATAATGATTTATTATTCATTTAATAAGTGTTTATTTTATTTTATTTTTTAAAAACTAAATTTTGTTATTATATTGAAAAAAGATTAATATTATTATTTATTTTTAGCTCGACAGGAATAGTTTCTTGCTCCTACGTATTTCCATGTGTAATTGAGAATCAGAGTTACATAGTTCTTTTGGTAGAAAATATTTGTGGGTTAATTTTTTAGTTTTATGTTTGTTAGATTTTAGAATTTCTAAATTGTCACAATTCATACATTTCAAATTGTAAAATTGAACAAGGTGTACACCCAAGTCAATCTATTGAAATATTTTATTTGTTATCTTTATTTGATAATTTTATTTGCTTTAGAGAATAGATATAAGGCATCAAATTGTCTCAAGTTTTTCCTTATAATTTCATGTTTAAAAAAGGTGTCACATCCAAT